TTCCCTTACCTACGTACCCACAGCCACCCACACTCTACATCCACACCCCTTTCGAGCTCTAACTAATTACGTTTTCGAATAATTGGAATTTCAACGCGACTAGCTGCAACCTCAACTAATTGCTACTGAATCCTGGTCAAGAGTTGAAGTTCGAGTCGATGCGTCTCTAACTGTTAGGATGCATTAGTGATCTTCTAAAACAGGATAAATTGTTCGACATGTAATGGTGATTTTCATCATTAAACTAACAAGCACAGATAGAATACAGCGAAGACTGATATTCTCATACAGCTACCATCTACTATCGTAAAACTCTCTTGTAAATGAAAAAAACTTGTTAGAACCAAATGGAATAAACTTTCCAGCATCACTAATATAATCGGCTTAGCGCCAAGAGAAGCCATTGGTGCCTATATACCTATCATCACTACACCCCATGGTGAACGGTAGAACAGTAGATAGTGCACTGTTGTCTCCCTACCTACAACCATACATTAGCATCCATATGTGGCTTTAGGATTAAATCAGCAAGAGTCCATTCATATAATATGAAACTATTATTAAGCAGTAGAGAAAAAACGGCTACCAATGTCAAAAATGACATGTGAGTCAAGACACGTTGGGAACTGAGCAAATTCATATTGTTCTTCTCATAAAGTACCAAAGTTAGGGTATTATATTTTGCAGGCTTGTGTTATAGTTATGTTAGCTTTTGTTTTGAGCTTGAATTTCTCCGAATAATGATTTGAATCATTTGAAGAACTTTAGCAAGAATCATTGATGTACAATACTTTTTATACTATGTAATTTCTTTCACGTGATTCAAATTTTTGATTTTATTAAAAGATATTTTTGATGAAACTATTCGCAAATTTTTGTTGAAATCATAAAGTTCATGATACAGCAGATGAAATTTGCTCAATATTTACTAAACTAATCAGTATTTTTAGTATAGGATTCTGAAAGCTCTCCATGGATTTTACATATTTTGATTTTGCTTTAATGATAAACGCTTCTCCTATATTTCAATCATTGATTTCATTTAAAAAAAAAGTATTGAGCAAGTACGAATTCATTTTGATAAAAGTTTGACTGATACAAGTCATTACTCGATACATGATTAATTACTATAGAACATTATTAACTAAATCAAAGATAATATATGAAATTACAATTAATTATTTATCGTTTGTATATCTATATTTTATTATAATAATCACATTTTAAATTCTTTCAAGCATACATGAAATTATTGATTGTCAAATAATAATAAAAATAAGAAATGTATGATCGAAGACGTGTTGTCTTATTATTTTTTTATTGACTCAATAGAATGACTCATTACATCCATGATAGATTGTGTTGCGGGTTGTGCAAATTTCTATGACTAAGACGACAGAAAAGGAAGAAGCAGCTAATATCTTCTTTCTGTTCTTCGTCACATGCTCGTATTTACAGTCGAAGTGTGTTGTTGCCAAATATTATATATGTTTTTGTATGTTCACTCTCAAGAGGAAAAAAAAACAGCAAGCAAGTGAATTGTGTGGTGCAAAAATACGATTGAGAAACTTTTTTTGTATGTATGTTCTCTTGCAAATTTCTTTCCACGTGCGAATCATATTACAATATTAATTTTTCCTCATTTGCCGTCTATATGCAAATTTTAATCGAGAATAACATACGATAATATTTTTCTTGATTAAAGGTCAGTTTCAAACGTCATTTTGTAATAGATTGTCTATTTTCAAAACTAATGTGAGAATAGATCTATGTAAATTCTTTTTCTTATTATTCATTTGCGTGAGTGTGCATATCTAACATGTCATACCTTATCTATTGTTTTCATATATATAACGACACATTTCTTTCTTTTTCTCAGATGACTAATTTTACTTAAATCCTGAAATCAAATCGTTGCACAACTGGTTTTTATGATGTATCGTATGCCAGTATTATCGTTAAACGGTTATAACAATGGATACTATCGAACATCGACTTATGACGTAGATCGACGACTAAGTCTCAAGTTAAATTATACTGATCAAGTGGATTCCATTGAGACTGACAATTTTATTCTATGTACCTCAAATACTACTATTCGCGATATTAAAAAACGATTACCACAATTCTTTCCACTTCAGTCCATTGATCCTGAACAAGTCATACTATCAGAAATTCGTTCTGACGGTCGACGCTACTTGATACCCTCTTCGTATTATTATAAAACATTGGACGAACTAAAAATTGAAAGCGGATCTGAACTCTATTTTAAGCGATTGAATGCTTCATCACGTCCGAAATTATCACTGTTGACAGTTCGCTTACTGAACAGTGGGGAAAAAATAGACTTCGAATGGGACGAGCAATCGACAACAATTGACGCTCTCTTTGATCAAGTCATAAAAGTTTTCGGTTTGAATTCGATCGAACGTGAAAGAATCCAACTCAGTACAATTTCGAACGATGTTCTCAACAAACCAAGCAACTCAGGAAAGAAATTGATAGAACTAGGTGTACGACATTATTCGTATGTCTACATCCATATTATCAAACCAAAATCCACTTTCATGCATGATCAAGAAATATATATTTATGTCAAAAGTAACTCTGATGAAGACGAATTATTATTGGCATTGCCAACAGACAGCATTGCTCATTTAGAAGCTCGAATTAAAAGCAAATATAAACGTATGACGTCTGTCTTTTTTCTTGATCACATGCATAATCCAATAGATACAAATGATCGCAATCGAAAACTAAGTGATTTGGGTGTGAAGTCGAATCAGATCATTTATGCTTATGTTCAAGAGAGCCTTCAAAAGAAACAAACCGATGTATCTCAATCATCATCGTCGTCGATTATCAATCCGAACACAGTTTTCGTTCGTTGTCGTTTGCCAGACAATCAGTCAATAACGATTCAAGCATCAGTCACAGATACGGTGGCGGAGCTAACAGCAAGTATTGCAGCTCTTCGAAAAAATCAGATAATGGCTCACTTTTCACTATGGTCAGACAGTGTTACTATTGACGATCAGCAACCTGATAAACGTTTGGCTGATTTTGGCATTCAACCTGGCAGTACAATTTATGCTTCTATCACAGACATTGCTCCCACTAATTACACAATTAAAACTAACAAAACTGACAGACCTTATACAACAACACTTAATTCTGACTTAGATGCAAAACCTTTAGGTTTGAATAACCTTGGTAATACATGTTTTATGAATAGTGTACTTCAATGTCTGGTACATATCGAACCATTAACTGATTTTTTTATGAAAGTTCTTACTCAATCATATTCGACAGATAGCCATGTTAATAAATCGAATCCATTCGACACTTATGGAGAAGTAACTAGAGCATATGCCGAACTATTGTGGAATTTACAAAAACCTGATAGAAATTCTTACTCGTATTATGATTATTCATTTAGACCAACTCGTATGAAAGAAACAATCGGTCGACTTGAACCACGTTTTGCTACATCGGATCAACAAGATGCTCAAGAATTTATGACACTTCTTCTTGATACCATTCATCACGAAATCAAACAAAAAAATAATCACGTTCGAGATACAATTATCACAGAACTCTTTTTTAGTCCACTTCAATCTTCTATTACTTGTTCTCAATGCCAACATGTAAGCACTACAACAAATCCAAATAGTATTCTTTCATTACCACTTAAACCGTTAGAACGAACATTTCAAGTGAATTTTATTAGATTAAACGGGCAAAATGAGTATAATATGGTGCCTATGTCTGTTGGTAATCGTATTGAACATCTTGTACATGCATTTTTCGAGCGTCGTTATGATTCAAGACGCTTTCGTTATGTTACCGCGATCACTACTGATTCAGAAGCAGCAGTTAACTTTGATACATCTCTCAGCAAACTATCTGAACCAGCAATAACACTTATCGAGCAAGATCATTATAATGGTCGACTTACACCTTTGCGATATGAGAATAAACCAACCACTCTGAAACTTGATGAATGTATTCAAGAATTTTTTTCACTCGAAAATCTAGATGAACCATGGTTGTGTGATCAAGATAATTGTAAACGAAATGTAATGGCAAGGAAACAACTTCAACTTCTGACTTTTCCACCTGTATTGATTATTCAATTGAAACGATTTTCACATGAAAACGGTCTTCGTCAAAAACTGGACATATTTGTTAAGTATCCTATAGATGGATTTGATTTGGGTAAACTTTTGAAATCATCCGAGGAAGCTGTCTATGATCTTATTGGTGTTTGTAATCATATTGGATCTATTTCTTGTGGTCATTATACTGCATATGCACGAAAAAATTCAAAAAGTGAAAAATGGTATAGATTCAATGATTCTGATGTATCAACTGTGTATTATAGAGAAAAAATCGTTTCTCAAGATGCTTATCTTCTTTTTTATCTCAAACGACAGAAATAAACGAAATCATCAATGGCTTGAAGTACTTTGTATTAGATTATTATTTTGTCAAACACTATATAATTCATGTAAAATTCTCTTCTTTCTGGATTAATCACGAGAATATAAACTACTATTGATAGTGTTCATTGATAACTTTTTTTAATTATAATATTCATGAATTACGTTTTAATTTTTGTTCAGATGAATAGAAGACTATATCAGAGTGAAGCATTTCGTATCGATTTCATTTCTATTTATTAATGAGAGAAAATAAAACTGAATTTTTTTTCTGATTTATTAATAATATTAGATCGTCATAAGTGATTGTGGGGTGTGAAAAATTTATCTCTTTAAAAATTTCTGTCTTAATTTTTATAAAGAACAATAAAATTAAAGAATTAGTTTCATTTCAATACAGTTTTTCACGTACCATTCATCAGCGGATAGTTCATGCATGTATGAATCATAATATTCTTGTTCGCTACAAATTGATTCAAGAAACAAACAATCTGTTGTTAGATTAATTTAGAATTTCAAACCAAAAAAGAAATTTCAAGTAAACAGATCTTGTATTGATGGGAACTGTATATCCTGACATTTCACTATGTAATAAAATTTTAACTTTGACTTAGAGAAACATACATAAATCCTTTTTTCTTGACCCTGATCGTGATCTTGTTCAACGTTCAAAAAGCCTTACGACTTGTCCTCTAATTGAATAATAATGTTGTAATTCTTTCAATGTACAAAATGATTAAATTATCCCATGCCATCCAAATATTGATTCATACTAAACCTTTGCTCATTTTTCTTTTAATTTCTATTCGCAAAGAGATGGTCTTACGTACTACAAAGCTGACACATATTTTTCTAGTTAGTGCGAAACCTAAACTACATGACTGCGACCGTCGAAAAACAAACAGTGGTATGCAAAATTTTCAATAACAGCTTAGCTCCAATTTCTAATATGCTGCTAAATCTTCCATGTAATTTTGTATCTTTTGATATTCATTTAATAATTCGGTACGACTTTAAAACTTTCATTGTTCACCGTCTTAGTTACACAAATTTGTCTGGTGTTAACGAGCGTGGATTGCTCGATAAGTACTGTTTGCCAAAGTTAATCAAACAAAGTAAACATATGCTAAGATTGATGAAAATCAACCGAAAAGGATGTGTAGTCATTTGAACGACTTACAATTGATATTACTTTTGATGATTTCTATTTTAATGGTAATTATGATGGATGAATTGAAATAAAGAAAACCAGAGCGAGCACAGTGTACTCTATGAAGGTACAATAGATGTTAACACAGCACTAAGAGTTACGCTATTGATTTTTTCTCACCTTTTTTCATCTTCAATGATTACGTCTGTCCTAGGTATGTTCATGTGCGAACGATGAATGAGTTATTGATGGGCCGAAATGAATTAATGTCCTAGATTATTTCTATCCGTTTAAAAAATCTCTTGTACACCCTGAAGAAAAATGGAGCTTTAAGTGTGCAACTTCACATGATCTGTTTTTTTTCCGAATATTCGCCTACTTTTTGTTGATATGCGTAAAAGTATCAAAAGTCCACTGGTGACTTCCGTCACTCCTATTCATATCGATGTATTCCTTTGTGTATGACGATGTTATTGTCATTTAGAAAATTTGTAGTTAATAGAACTGAAAATTACAGCTCCTTGTTTATGTTCATAGTTTTTCAAAGTTTTGCTTCGCTTCTAAAATGAGTTTCAAACTATTTACATGAATATTTACATTTCACACTCCTTTTTATTGTTCGTTGGCAAGACCTAGTACGACCTATTTATTTTCAGAATATTTAAAGTTTTGTTCTGTAATTTGCTGTGCTTGTTTGATAAGACCATGGTCACCTCCTAATATGTGTCGATTTGAAGAAAACGAATTATGTGTCTCAGTACGGAAGGATGGAGTCTCATATTTGACAGTATTTTCTGCGAGTTCCCATGCATACTGGAAAAGAACTTGAGACATCTCAGCTTTGTTCCAGTGTAATAAGTTTTTTCCTTTATCAATCAATTCATTGCAAAAATCATGAACAAGACGTAGCAGAAGATTGTCTTCATGATCGAAGGCTTGTAACTGGAAGCCCATATCAATATATTCACAAGCCCAATCGACTTGATGAATTATATAAACACACAAAATATAACATGAGTGGATAGGCAGGTTTTCAGAAATAATTTTTTGGAATAATTGTTCTACCCATTCTTCCTGATGAAATCTAATGCACAGTCCATATCATCAGTGTATGTTAGACAACTCGAATTAAACGAGCTGGCGAAAAACGATGGAATTTTTCTTGTATGAAACGGATCCAAAGGTAGCAAGGATATTGGCGCTAGAACATTGTCAAACTTTTCTTTTAACTGTGAACAAGCTCCTGTTTGACCAATGTGGGGATGAAGCCAAATTATTCGATATGGACGAATGATATTCATTGTTGACACTAATTAGAAACAATGGATTTTTTTTTGATATAACTCAGTCGTCGAAATTTATCTGACTATATATATTGATGAGAAGAAAACGAGCAGTTAAACAATTAAGTTGGAATTTTCCAAGTAATAAAATCGAAACAACGTGTGCTCGTTCTCAACTTCATTTTATTTGGTTTCTTCCAACATCATGCATGCACTTGTTGGATGACGATTCAACAGTTCTAACGTCAACAAAACGTCCATCACACATGTCTTGGTAGGCGTAGGAAATGGATGTGATGTGCACAGTAGATCTATATCTAAACACATCCACACTCTACCAACACATACGATTATTAATATCTCAAATATACAGTATAGATGGAGACAGATGATGCTGTTCTAAATTTAAAGTCTCAGTTGTGTTTTTTTGAATTCAAGCCCGAGCAATGAATTATGTATGTTTTCGTCTGCGATCATACTTTTTAATGCCAAGATTTAGCGTAAATGGAGAACAATTAGTTCAAAAGTAACATCACTAAAGATGACAAAGTATGATGAGAAATATGTGATCATTTGTTTTTCCAACCAAATTACAAAGTGCACCATCTTATAAATTTCAAAAAAATGTCAAGACATATGTTGACACACCGATAAGTCGTGCATAGACTTTTTTTGTAGATAGAACTTTTTGTATTCTGTCTGGACACTGGACAAAACTATTGATTTATGGAAGAGTGAGTTTGTTATTGTAGTTGTACATTTGACTACTTTTATATTGCAGTCAACTTTGGTGGCAAATTAGGATTCACGTTTTGGGATCGAGTTGATGAAAAGACTTTCCAGACGTCTCCTCCGAAAGAAACAAGATAGAAAAAAAAGGCATTAACAGTTTTCGATAAGGTCAATTCATCGAACTTCTTTTCTATCTCAATGTGATAATTTTCAGATCAGCGTATAAGAACATTTTTGTTTATCTTCATTCTAGCAATTCCTCAATTATTATCGAAACAAGGATGCATTTCTAAAATAAAAACCGATCTTAATTTCTTTCTGAAGAAGTCTTTTTTGTTTCAACCTTATTGTTTGGTAATTATAGAATTAACTCGATGATCAATCTTTAAACATTCAGTAGTGTAAAATCATGATATTCGATCGCAATTCTATAGATAACAGATGATGACTTCGAAATCAATGTCACGATTGTGCCTGCAATTAATTATTCTCTTAAGGATAAAGTTAAAAATCAAAGATTCATAAATCTCAGTCGATTATTGATATGACAACATTTCTATGCATATATTCTAAAGGACTAGACGTTTTTAAAATCAAGCGACAATCTGTAAAAATGAAATACTATATTAAAAATGATGAATTATCAACTACCAAAAAAGCATTCATACACGACGTTACAGAACAATCAAATCATGAGTTCCCAATTTTTCGCCATTCGAAATGATTTGTGCAATTTAGTCAAATTCAAATAAGTACAATTTCAACAAAAAGTATACAAGAACAATGAAAATCCTTTATACGAACTGAAATTTATTTCAAAATCATAATATGAGATTATAAAAACACTAGCAACAGCATAGAATCAATCGAACTGATGGATTCTTATTTTTGTTAGTGTATAATGAAGTTTTATGGGAAAAAGTTAGCAAATATGTTAGCGATAGAAATTCTTTAGATTAGATGATTTTTCTGGATTTCATTCATTTTTAAGTTATTTTTGTCATTGAATGCCATATACTATCTGACATTGTAATTAATATTCGTGAATTTTCAATAGACCGACTATGTTTGTATTCGTTTTTGAAACTGAAGTGTTCTTTTGAACTCAATCAACATACGTCCATGATTTATAGTAGTAATTCCATAAGCATCTAATTTTGTATTTTATCTTTTCCTAGACAATTGACAATAGAGTAGCAACTTTCGGATGATAAATCAATGTGAATAAAGAAAAGAAGTAAAAATGACTTTCATTAACTCAGACTTTCAATCCAAACCAGGCTGCGATGGCCGAGCGGTTAAGGCGTCAGACTGGAAATCTTATGGGATCTTCCCGCGTAGGTTCAAATCCTACTCGCAGCGTCCATTTTTCTTTCACTTCTTATCAGGTGAATTCGTATCGCACGGTTTGTCAGAACAGCATCTCGTGTAAGTAAGATGAAGGAATTACGCAAGAACACTATTTTTGACGAAATAGATCTATCTCGCCTTTGATTATCAGTTTCGTCACATATTTCATAGATATGCTTGTGTGAGCGCAAAATATCCTAAATAATGTTTTATTTTGATTTTGGCCATTATAGAACTGCTCAGATTAACGAGAAAAGCTCTTTGAAAACTTTTCTCGTCTAATACAATGGACCAGCAATGAACTCTGACATTATGTTTTTTTGAATAACCAAAAGTTTTGTTAGAACAACATGTTACGCACTAGCATAGTATGATATAGAAGATGATATGGTTTTCTTATGAATATGAGGAATGAGATAACATTTATTCACATTATTATAAGACGGCTCTCGGATTCAAATCAAACTATTGAGAAACATCGTTCATTTATTCGAATAATCAAAACGGCATCCCTTTTTACTGAATTCATCCCATATCTTTTTGGAAAACCAATTGATTTGAATAAGAAAAAAAAAAAACTTCAAAATTCATCTGTCATCATTTAAAACAATTGTGGCAAGTTCTTGCATGATGTTCTAATTGATCCCACACCATATAATCATCAGAACATTATCAATCTCTTAATACTACTCGAAAATAATATTTCTAACAACGTTGGCATCTATGCTACATAGATAATCCTTCAAGAAATAATTACCAACTTTCATTCCTTCAATGTTATATTGAATCAACTTATTAGGTTTTTCGTATGGATGCATATATTTCAATATAGTATAGAATCCACCGAAACACTTACTCGCATCTTTCGTTGAATTGAATGCGTCTCCTTGAAAAATGAAATAGTATTCTTTACAAAAAAATTTCCTTGTTGCACTATGGTACGCCATGTATGATAATGACGAGAAAGCATGAAAATGTGTGGATGTAATAGAAGTGAACCCTGACATTGGCATCTGAAGCGCGAGACTCGGATCCTAATTCACATCCACATCCTCACATATTTCCACCCTTCTGTTGTAGTTTTTTATAAATGTATTTGCATTTGTCATTATTTTCATCATGTATTTCGTAAAGAGATGAGAGAGAACGAACAACATATAAGATGCAACGGTCGATGTCGAACGAACAGCTAATCAATCTTCAAAACTGATAGACAATTCGTAGTTCTACGGAGCATCGATAAAGAACATCCAGTCAAAAGTTGCTTCTTTGACTTCAATCTATCCAAGTCGGTTGAACTTATCCGATTCTTCTACTCAGAATGGTCATTTTCAAACGATTGTTTTAAGAAAAAGTTCAGTTGTTTAATAATGTTCTTTTTTCAATCGAGTAAAATTTCATTAACTGAATGTGCGAGAAAAAAATGGAAAAAAGTAGCCCAGTTCAAACAGATGTACGTTGAATACTCTTGAATTCTTGTAGTTACAATCAGACCCTGTCGTATTCTAGCAGAAGAGTGGGTGTAGGGTCAACAGAAGACGCGCAACCCCATCGGCATCGTTATGCATGATCAAATCTTACCCTCTGCAAAATTTTATATGACTTTGAAAAGTTCTTCGATTTCTGTCGTTCATTTTTATCACTAAAATAGTTTAGTTTTCTTCTCAAATAGATGATTCTCGACGGACACTATAATGGCACTCAAAGTTATTCACAAAAGAGATGTCACTAGTTTACGTTAAAGATTACCGATAGGATTAAGCTAGATCAATGCATGAGTTCACTCTGAAACTTCACACTACTGGATAAGTTATGGTTTCAGATTCTTTTTCAGACTATATTTAGGTATCTACATACATCTTGAGTATGTTTCTGAACTCCAAATACATAGATGTAGTCGAAGTTTCGGAAATTACTCGGCATTCAATCATGAATAAATTTAATCCAACGCAACCCTCCAGCATCTCTGGTTTATAAGTATGTGACAAAAAAAATGGTAGAAAGCAGTTATGAGTTCGAATTTAAATTTGTGTGAAAATGTATTTCATTGGATTTTTTATAATAATATGCTTTCATAATGTTTATTATGCCTCATGTTGGAAAGAAATGTATGTACAACACATTTCTTCTTCTGCACCTGTCAACCATTTTACTAAATCATTAAAAGGCAAAGAAAGAAACTCTTTCAAAAGTCAGAGTATTTTATTATTCAAGCCTACTAGTATTTATTTTTTCTTTCTACATCATTCGTCCTCGAGCATTGATGGTGTGCATGTGTATTTGCATGCATCTTTAGAAGTATTCGAAGGCAACATTAAGAGTGTGGGTGTGAGTGTGAGTATGGGCATAGGTTTCTTGTATTTCTCTTTTCTTTTGCTGAGATAAAAGCCATAATCTTTTTTTTATGCGTCATATCAGTGCTTTGGTTTCTTTTTTCCATCTTAAACAACAGGAATAAAGAAAAATATCTTTGGATACTATTAGTATTATTCTTCTTCTTCATTTCTTTTGCATTCATTGTAACGTTGAATTTGGTATAGTGTGAAATTATTAACTCAAAGAAAAATGGCGACAATATCTAAGCTTGGTAGCATGTCTTTTCTCACTGGTAGTAGCATAGAAGGTGGTGCTTATACGCGTCATCTTGCCCAACAAGCTATGCAAGATATTGATTTCATGTTAGTTGAAGGAATAATAAAGTCGCCTAATTGTATTATCAAATTAGAGAATATACCGGGATTCGTTCAAGTCAAATATGACGAAAGTTTCATTGAACAATGTTCAACAACACCATTCTCTATCAAACCAAATCAATATGGAGTATTATGTATCAATGGTTTCAAGATGAAAGAGAAGTACTGTGGTGTCGATGTAAACTCATTATTTCCAAGATCAACAATTACATCGACCAGTCAAACGACAACAGCATCCGCAAGTACTGAAGTCAAATATAAGAGTATTTTTGAGACTACATCACTGAGTGAACAATTCGAAACGATACTGAATTTCATCCGACGAATGCGAGTACTAGAAGATGTCGAATCATTCCAATCGAAATATATCTCGGTTTGTGAAGCATTACGAAAATCGTTATCGCAAAATATATTACCTATGATTGGTCCAATTGCTGATGCTGAACGTCTTTATGAACAAAGTTTTCAGGATATAATTAGTTTAACATTTCCCCTGTATTATATACGAATACCAGCAGTAACTCAAGTACGATCGAATGTTCTACTTGAATTCTATGAAAAATATAAATATCTTGGAAATGCATCCATGCTGGAAGATTACATGGAATACGGGTTATCGTTGATGAATTACGATGTCGACTTGGTACCAGCTTTGAAACTGGAATTTTGGCCAGATGATATGAAAATATTTCTGAATAGAATTCAAAATTCTCGACCTAAACTATATGAAATCATTCTTGAACAAGCATCCATGCATCTCATACCGAAATGGTCTAGCAAAACTCAGGAAGTCGATCAAGAACTCGAATTTCGATATTCATTTTCAGCAATTGAACGTCTATTGGCTAAGAATCGTACACGAGTAGAACAAATTCTAAATGGTGTTGCACGAAGTATTTATCATCGATGTTTGAAGAAAGAACCTTGTCTCGAAGATCATACGAAAACCATTGTACCATCCTATTTTACCAAAACAACAGTATTATGGATGTGTGAATTGTACAATTTGAATGATCTTTGTTCTGAGACAGACGATGATCAAACCATTGCTAATATCATGGCAACAGAATGGTTGAGCTATGTCAGAGAAAAATTATGTTCGGGTTATTGTCCACATTATTTTATCGATTCTTTCAATCTCTTAGAAACATGTTCGTTGGCATCGTTAACTCGAGCAGCATCTATTCTAGAACATGAAGTTCGTTTGTATGAGGACGTTAAAATCAATGTTTTAATTAAACAGGACGAATTGATGGATAAACAACAACAAACAACAGAGAATTGGCTACAAAATATGAAAGTGAAAGATATTTTAGCTGCAGTGAATGATTATCGGCTGATGAGAGAAAATTGGCTCTGTCCACCAGAAAAAAACCAAGATGAAGGTGATGTGTCCGATTGTTTTTATACTTTGAATCAATTACGAGCATTAGACGGTGATAAGCAACAGAACTGGAACACATATCAACGTTTATTTTTGACAGTTGATCAATCAACTTGGTTACCACCCATATGGGACGAACAAGTAGCTGAATGTTCTGTATGTGATTTCGTTGATGGTCTTATCGCATTAGGTTTATTCATGAAACAGATCCTAGAGGGCATGAAAAAATCAGACATTGAACAAACAATGGCTAGAAATAGCCGTGAAATGGAATTCTTTTCCACACAGAATCTTGTCAATGATCTGATTCAACCAGGCAATATCGTTCAAAATGGTTTAATGACATCGTGGTTACCTATGTTCACTTGTTCCTATTTCAATCAATCGTTAACAAATGTACCATCGATTCGACAACGTTCAATCATTGCTAATCATCCTACTGGGCCGCTTCAAGACCTTCTACAAGGTCGAACATGTCCGACACCTTTAGATCCCCAATCACGACAAACATATCAACAATATGCTCAAAATGCCTCATATAGATTTCTGGATCTTCTGAGTGATGCTCCTAATATCGATATGACGTTGGGAGATTTATTGAAATATTACGATCGGCCATCGAGAACAAACGAGGTAGACCGAGAATTATTCTCACTTTTTTTTGTGATAATCTTTTCTTTCTAGCCTGTCATAACATCATCCATCGAAGAACAAATTCTTTTACATGCAACAAATTCTTCCTCAGTGAATAAAGAAAGTATTACACTAATTGTTTTCGATCCTAATCTTACTATGAATAATATAACAGATGAAGAGTATCGTACTATCAATGATTATGTGTTAATTTATGGAGTGAAGTCTCAATTACTTACCTACGTGCAATCAATCAGTGAAGAATCTATTTTCATAATTCTTTGTCAATCGTCATCCGATGAAGAGTTTCTATCTCAATTAAACGATTTGAATCAGATTCATTCCATTTTCATTTATTCTGTACAACAAGTGGTTGATGATCAGCTCACGAGCAAATATTCAAAAGTAATTGGTACCTTTACAGAACAAAAAGTATTATTGGAACAAGTTCGAACAAGCATCGAACAACCGTTTGCACTACGATTTGGATTTTATGATCCACAGCAACAATTGACAATGCATACAAAATTATCCAAAGAGAGTCTCATATTTTTCTGGAATTTATTATTGAAAGATCTATTAATGACAGAACAACCAATAGATAGAAGTTTTCTCATACAGGATTGTCGAGAATATTATCGTCTAAATACTGTCGAAATGGAAAATATCGAACAATTTGAAAAGACATACGATTCTCGTAATCCTCATGAATGGTATTTGAAATCTTGTTTTGTTTTCAAACTTCTCACGAAAGCATTTCATACAGCCGACATAGAACGATTGAAATTATTCAACTTTTTTATCCGTGATATAAGTTCGACCATGGAAGAGTTTTTTAATATGGAACCACTCTATTGTACAAGTATAATAGAAAAAACTGAATTCGTAAAATTATTGGAAAAGATCGGTCATCTAATGATTTTCAGTGAATTTTTAGTCGTACATCGTTCATTCGATGAGATAGCACCATATCGGAATGAGTCACAAGTGACGATTAGTTTTGAAATAAGCAACATGCCTCCATCTGCTATTCATGTGATTGACTCGACTAGGATAATCATCAATTTAGGTGTTACATTTAAACTAAACTCACTTGATTTCGATGATAAATTGGGAGTCTGGATTGCTCGCTTGGTTTTCAGTCATGAAGGAGTACAAATCGCACAAAATTATATTGCTGTGGAACAACAGACAATGGAACGAATGACATTACCATTGATAATGGCTAGTTTATTACTGAAAATGAATGATTTGTCGATGACCAAAAATTATTTAGATAGTTTGAAAAATGAAGATGAAGCTCTCATCCATCACTATTATGGAAATCTACACTATAAAAAAGGCGAATATGAATTAGCACTCGAGAATTTTCAAATAGCTTATGAATTGATGATTGGTAATGGACGGATTCAAGATAGTGCCTTAGTCTTACATGATATTGGCTATGTTTATGATAGGAAAAAAGAGTTCAATGATGCCTTAGATAGTCATCGAAAAGCCTTGGAAATTAGACAAACCTATTGCCCGACAAATGATGCTCGTATAGGTATTAGTCTATACAATATTGGTCGTACACTTGTGAACATGGATGATAATAGTCAAGCGTTAATTTATCATCAAAAGGCTTTAGAGATCTTTGAAAATACACTGACATATAATCATGTATTCACGGTACACAGCATACATAGTCATGGAGTTGTGTATTTCAATATGGGAGACTGTTACCAAGCACTTCATTACTATATGAAAGCATTGGAACTGTACGAGAAAATTTTACCTCGAGATGAACATGGCATAGTGGTGGTGAAAAATGCACTAGATCGAATTCAGAAATTTCTTGCTTGATATAGAATGACTTAATGTCTTTTTTGTGATATTCAACATTTTCACTTATCAATCTAGAATAATAATTAAATTTTTCTTTAAGAACTTGTATAGCATGGCATAAGATTTTCTGTTCAATACTCTTCTTATTAAATAGGGTGTGAGTGTGAGTGTTAATATTGAGATGAACAAGCCCCCTTCATACCCACACCCAAGATCTAGGTATACTTTATGGTAATGGTGTTTATTTTTTGTTAAATGCGAGTTACAGTTATTCTTATTCTTTGCCGAAGTAACAAGGTGAACGATGTATGTTTTATGCACATGTTCTTGTCGGCCGTACAACATATGAAGATAAAACAATGAAAGTTTGTCCAACAAACTACCACATAATTACCGATGGCGAGCACATTTCTGTTACATATCATGATACCCAGGCATATGGTCAATATTTAATATCTTATTAATAACTAAAGGACACTAAACAGAAACTTTGTGTATTTTTGAGGGTAGTTAGAATGTGGAGTGTGGGTGTGGATATAGACGAATTAAGCACCTATATTCACATCCACATGTTTATCTCATTGTGACAATGAATGATGAAGTTATTTTTTTTCTCTGCTGAAACATTTATTCAATGCCTTGTTTCGAAGACATTAGCAAAGATCAAATTGAGTCGAAGCAAGCAAGATTACTTAATTCAGTCAGATTTGTTGTCATTTGTTCAACAATTTTTCCATTATCGACATTGAATACAAAAAAATGATTCTTTTTGTCATCTGTTGTGCCCCATAGTGTAATCCGTAGACGTTTTTCTGCATCGAGTGCATAGTTTGTTGACCAAAAAGATTTCTCAAATGGAATTTCACTTTTACCAATGCGATCAAATTTAAGTTCACCTTTTGCTGTCATAATGACTTCCACTAAGTACCAGACGCGATCCGTTAATCCAGCTGGATAAACTAGCGCAATGAGTCGATCTTTAGCAGAATCATAATCAAGGACATAGATTGAATAATCTCCAGGTATTCGACTATGTGCATATATTTTTGCCTGTATCAATATTTATACCATAAAGTGTCGAATCTATAACATTATAATACAATCGATGTTTCGATGCAAAAGTCATGATAATACTAAATGAGTCAGCTGGCTATATTTCAATAGATTTCATGAGACCTGTCGTTTGATTGACTTTAGCTATTTCTAAACTTAACGGAGATTTGAAACTTTTTCTGATACCATAAATGTTACCATTCTCATTCGTCACTCCAATATGATAAAATGCTGCATTACCATTTTTATCGATCAATGATAAATTAAGTTTGATTGACTTAGCTTCCACATCAATCATCAGTAGAAAAAAATAAGGTATAGCTTTACTAACAAAAGTATTATATGTACTATGGTATGTACGATTATCTATTTTTGCGGTTGCTGATGGACTCTGAAATACTGAATCACCTAAATTTAACTCATTATGATGAAACGATGCATTATAGAATTCGATAAACTTTGTATTGAGTGTTGTTTGTATCTATCCCAAAGAGCCGACATGAAAAGCTCGAAGCAAACGAAATCATCGATAATAATATAAAAATGCTATATGCCATGGAGTTGAAGAAATCTTTATTCATCTGAACTTCTGAATATAAATATTTTCAGGTAGTATAAGTGTGAGTCTCTCCCCCTGTTTTATAAAACAAATAGTAGATGTCAAGTAGCAAACACAACAGATATGCTTTTACATGACATATGCAAATATCCAATGACAAAGCATCAAGCAATTGTTGTCATCATACTAGTCTTTTTTTGTGAGAATCTCTGATGTTGTTTAGAAATTCTTTAATTTTATTATAGCAACAAAATTAATTTAAACGTTAAAATAGGACAAATATGGGTGTGGGTGTGGGTGAATGTCCATATGATGAGGAACGCTACCCAAACTCAAGCTCGGTTTCACGAAAGATGTGAAGTTTTTGCTTGTTGGTTCGGATTTACAATAGCGTCTATCAACGGCCTTTTCATGCCTATTGCAAGCTTCTGTCGTTTCTTATTGATCATGATTAATGATTATTCATTTAGTATGAACCTTTCCGTCACATCTTTCATATTTAACAAACATTAACCAAACTACAATTTTGTCATGAATATATAACTGATATTGAGTTTTCTTTGACGTCGGTGAATGCTCTGTGTATGTTATGAAAGAAAAGGCTTGATCAACAATTAGATTCTAACGTTCTGTTACATTCTAAAGGTATTTATTTGATACTGATAACTAAAAGAAGATTAGAGAAAGTAAGGCTTCATCCATGCCATATAAAAATTCATGTACACAATGATGATAACTGTTTACTAATATCGGATAAAACTGAATTGTTCAGAATGGAAACTCTAGAAAATCCATTTAAAATGAAAGATTATGCTTCTAAGAAGTGAATAAATCTAGACAATCTAAGAAATAATTTTTTAGAAGATTGTAAATCACTGATTTCTATTGAACGTTGTTGCTATGAACAATGAAACATTGTAACATCGAATCAGAAAGAGATAGTAAAATAGTTGTGCTAATTTGACAAAGCTGTCGAATAATATGTTCCGAATAAATCATTCTCTTATCTATACTCGATTGAAAAATTGTAAGAATTACAGCTAAATACGAACGAATATGACACTATCAGCAATATTCCGCCAAAAGACCTTACAGAAAATAAAAGATCAACATCATTTTTTATTCATGAACTCATGAAATAAAGGAGATAATTAGACATGTCATATGATTGATAAGTGTAGAATGACTAGATTATAGAGTTGTATCTTCTAATAGGATTTAACTTCTCGATAAAACTATTTAAAATTGTTAATTTTCCTGCTGATGGTAAAAAACATTCTATGAAAACCAGTACTAAACACATAAGAAGATTAACAGAATATACTTTTTTCTTTTCTTCTGGCATACTAAATAATAACGCAATTGAAAGTCAGAGATCAAGCTTCATTTACTTACTCCTATCATTAACAACATATTTATCTATGAAAAAGTAAATAATAGTTGGAAAGTTTTTTATTCGTTTATTCGAGTTCCAAACCATTGAAAGCAAAATAATCTTTTATTATCCTCTTGATGAACTAAAGTTTCAAATTGATGATTCATGAAATTGAACAGAGATTATCTGAACTATAATTGTGGAGTATTAGTATGAGTGTTCGTTTAAAGAAGAATCATGCCAACATTTCGTATGTGAACTGTATAACTAGAAGACTTATCTGAAACTATTTGATTATTCATTTATGAGCTGCCTTTCATAGAACAGTATTCTAAACGATAATGAAGATGCAAGTATATGAAATTTTCATTCAAAAAAACTTAAAAAATTGTCACTTCCAAATAGTCTATCAATGAAAATTTCTATTCATACTGCATCTATTCACAATAAAAAAAGCATCTTGATGAATGTGCTTGTTCCCTATATTTAGCTATACTACATTCAACTGAAATGAATCATCCGAGACAAAATCTTTGATCTTAAATGAATTAAAAAGATGTAGGTGGAGTCGATTCCAATTGGATCCTATATTTTAGACATTATAATTTAAGTAACTAGCTCCTATACTCACAGCCTGTAATATAATCGAACACGAATTCAACTATCAACGATCATCGAACATGTAAAAAATATGTTACTCAATCCAATCTATTCTAAAAATGAATTCAATATATCGAATGAAAATATCAGTATAAGGAAAGTTTCATCAATTTATCATTTGTTATTATTCGATAGTTATATAGGGATGATGCTGCAGTGAAGCCATAAGGTCTGTTACATTTTCAATAATAAATTATATTCGACCCTCGTTGATCAAATAGAATAGTATTCTAAATGGAAATCAAATTAATACTAAATAAGAATAAAATTACACAATGTAGAATGCAAAAAAACAATAATCTGGAAAAGTGTTTTGTTTTAAAGTTTATATTACATGCTTTATGTAATTACTCGGCATTAGGTGTCCTATTATTTAATCGAGATGAATTTATGAATCGTTAAATATTAAAATTTAATAGCACAGAATTATGATGAAAGATCTTCTAATTTATTAATTTACATTGATCTTGTAAGATTTCATTTTCTTCCGTTATTGAAATCAAGTTATTTTATACTTACAAATCCTTTCAAATAAAATTGAACTTAACAGTCTCTCTTCCTTGTATTATAATGGAAGAAAATGTCAATAGAGATATTCAACATCTTCACTTAATCAAATTCATGTAGAAAATTCAAACTTAATTATAATTTAGAAAAATTCATGCTTTATCAATACATTTATATCTATGAATAACTGTCACATACGTTTCGAATCATACATGTCATTGCGATACAAGTAATCTATTTTATTTCGATTTTCGAGATCAAAAGATACTGATTCAAAAAACTTTGTTGTTTTACTCTGTTATTTTTGTTCCTGTAACATCCATCTTCTCTATTAGTAAGATTCATTTGCAAGTATTTTTATATCAAATCGAAAATTAAATTCAACAATTAGTAATATAACTGAACCAATAAATATCTGATCATTTTTGTAAGATACACTCATTCTAAAGAGTCAATCTTGTCTTGATGCTTGGCCTCTTCTTGTATAAAATAGAAAAAATTAAATCAATATAGATGACATGTTAAATGCATATTTTAGCGATAAATGTAAATTTGAATTAATTCTCAACCGAAAAAAAAAAAACTGAGAGATACAGTATGTAAAGAGAACAAGTAAATGGAAGTGATTTTATGTTTTCGAAGTGTTTTAGATGTCCAACTACTTAGTACATAAATAGTGAAGTAGATTACAGAACTTGTTGTTTTTTTTTGTACAACTAAAACATCCAAAAAAATTCGGTAATTCAAGACAGAGTGTGTTTCAATATTTGCCTGTTTGATCTTTATAATATTTTATTTCAAATCCAATAGAAAGAGCAAATTTTTTTCTAAGCAAAATTTATTTTAAATAATTGATTTTTGGTACTATGTTGCTGTAATCATGCAAACAAAATAATGCATGATTTTCAACGAATAGAATATATTTTATTCAGCTAGCCTCAACTATCATTCATGACATAAAAACTCTTCTTTTTATCTTGATGTGGATTTGATTTTAGACTATCATCAATTATATTTTAGATAGTTTTTTTTTTGTTGGGAAAAAGGATTCTTATTAATCTTTTATCAGAATATTGTATAGATTTTGAAGAAAATATTTTAAAAATACGTCAATTAACAGCTTCATTCAATTAAAACATTCTGAAAAATGAGTAAATATAGAAGGGATTGTGGGTGTGCGTTTAGGTGGGTGTGAATGCGTTAAGAGAAGACCCACATACACAATAACATCCACACCCACACCCCATCCACACCCACACCCCACCCACACCCACCCACCCACACCCCACCAACACCCACACCCACACCCCACCCACACCCACACCCACACCCACACACCCACACCCACAGCACAACAATTTCTTATTACTCTTCCTAATGGTGAAACAATTTCACGCCTCTGGATACCCAGTAAATTACGCGAACAATTAAATAAATTATTTTAACGAAAAAAAATATGATCACAATGTGTTCGCTGTTACCGACAAAGAACAAATATTTCTCGATTTGAAAAGTACTGATTATCTACGATCTCATCGAATCATAAAAGAGTATTGTATCGTTGAAAAAACAGTTCTAATTTCAATTGAATTTCATCCTCAAAAGAAACATTACAATATTTAACTACCTCTGATTGTAAAATTTTGTCAATCATTAATCGTTTTATCAATAACAATTATCCTAAATTTGCATCAAAATCCGATTTTTATCTTTGCTTTTTTGATGAACTTGGAAAATGTATCAAAGATGGAAGAGTTGCTGATATTTATCGGACCGACAATAATGTTGCCGAGAACAAACCGATTATCATTACAGCAGTTGAAGAAGAAGAAAATAAAACGATGGATCTACATGAAGTTACTTTTCAATCGAAATCAGGTAAACATTAAATATATTTTTAGTAGAGACAATTCAATGCGAAATTTTTACAATCGAAACGATTCCATTTTATGAAATATGAACTAAAAGTCCTGTTGAAGTATTTAGGAGCCGAGTCCTCGATTTTTTTTAGGAGTGGAGAGAGAAGGAGCAAAAATTTGGTAGAAAGTACCTTCATACAAGTTTACAGCTGGTGCAACAACAAATGCTCGAGTATACATTTCCTGGAAAAATTTTGCTATCTCAGCTAATCCTTTTTTTCCCAAACGGTGTTTGGGAAACGCTTAGATCGCCAAAACTGCTACCTGAAGACCATGTTTTTAGGCAGACTTAGGTCTACCGACATCCATGCCATGCAACGAGCAATGACACAACTCGTTCTGCTATCCATCCTACCCCCTTAAATTCCATACACATGCCCAACAATTTTTGCAGAAACTTTCTGCCAGAAAGTTTCAGATTTTGGGAAAACTCCATCGCCCTCCAATCGGTAAGCCTGATAAGAGGTAGAAATTTGCACATCCTCTGGGTATGACGGACATTCTTAGTAACGGTCGATCACAGACCGTGATAGATACTCTGGCTAGAGCTCACCGTCATAGATCGTGACAGACACCTTAGGAACGTCCCATTATAGGTCCCCTCCGTTACAGACACTTCTTCATTATAGTTCACCTTTCCAATTATAGACACCATAGTATTTTCTCATTTATGGTATAAGTAAGCAGCTCGGTCGTATTTCACATTTTAATCCCATTGGGATAACGCTGACAGCTTTTTCTTTTAAACTCATTTTGCTTGCGCTTCGTTAGGTCAACAACAAACAGGCTTATTTCATCGAACCACAAAATGGCAACAAATTAATTTTTGGTTAAAAAATCTTGCATCAATGATTGAAAAACCCGCTGAAAATTATGCCTATTGGGACCAAAAACATCACAGTATTGTTGATGGAAATCAATCAATTTCTTCAACAATTCATCCATCAATGACAACAACTTTTGATGAAATCAAATGGAATGATACTATCGAAGTGACATTTTCACTTGATAACAACAATCAAACTGTTCGTACACTTAAATCGATACCAATATATCTTATACTAAATAACCAAGAACTTCTACAGAACTTGAAATTAAATATTTCTCCAGACGATTGTGTACTCATACTGAATGCAAATCAAAGACAATTTCTATCTCAAAATGACATGCAAAAATCGATTGATAGATATATTACCTATGGAAATAATAATCAACCAATTCAATTTTGTATATCGATCTTGATTAATATAATTAAATAGATGATAAACAAGAATTTCAAATACCAATCTCACATAAAGAAATAACTATCGGACGAATTATACAATTAACAGAAACTAATTTCAACATTTACAAATATTTCGCTTTGAAGATGGCAAACGTAATCGTTGATAATAATGAAAAACTATCGAATTTGAATGATACAAAATTTATTCTTGTAAAAGAAAGTGAAATATGTCTTATTTCAATTCAGCGACTATCAGATTCAATACTTGTTGAAGTTGACGATCAAGAAAATATAATATCTCAACAATTTACTATCTTTGCGACAATGGCCAATGTTTATCAACAAAATAAAATAAATACTGAACAACAATCTCTTCTCTATTTTAATGACGTTATTCCATCATTAGATACACAACTGATATCTTTTCCATTAAAATCAACTATTGAATTTACATTGATAGACGCCAAATTACCGATAACAGCTACTATTGTCAATGTTGAAGATCAATGTTCAATCAAATTTCAATGTTCATATTTTATCATAATTAAACATCTATGTCAAATTGCATGTCAATTATTCGTGGTGAACAGTGATTACTATCGATTGTTGTTTCAGAATAATGTACTTGATGGTGACGACATGTCACTTGATGCTATCGACTGTTCGATGATTGAAATGGATTTGCATCTGATTTGTACAGCAACTTTAAAATGTTCTATTAAATATTGTGACCAAACACTCATGTTGCCTTCTAGTGAAAATACATTGGTCTCGACGATTCTTGAAGAAACATTTCATAAGTTCAGTATTCCACAGGCAGATCTTCATTTATATGAACTAATTGTTATGGATAATTATCGAACGAAAACTGAACTGAACAATTCAATCGAAGAAATTATTAGATTATTACCTGATGGAACTACTTTGATACAATTTGAGTTACAAAGAGTCCGAATATAATTTGACACTAGTGCATGCATAAAATCAATACATTTATTTTGTTTCTCTGCATTTCTATTGTTGAAGATATATGCCTAATCACAACTTTTTATTAATAAACTGTTTCCTCTATGAAATTTTAGATGCTTCTTTCATTAAAAAAACGAAAGTAGAGAGCTAATGGTAAGTGCTCCAGAGCTTCTAATGGGCTGGGCTGGGCCTATGAAAACTAGCTCATGGGTTATCGAACTTTGACTCGATCCACCAGTGGATTTAACTGAAAAAAAAACTACCCGGCCTATGGGCCCATCCACTTAGCTAATTTTTTTTTCTAAATTAGTTTGGCCCTTTACTCCGAATAAAGATGTTTATCATCGTTGACACTCTTTTATTCCGTAAATTTAAAGCTTTTCTCCGCTCAAAGAAGTCAATTTTTACCAAACAAGTCGAAATAGAGATAAATGCATGAGAAAATTACCCGATGTTTGATCTTTCAAAAACAATATGATTTCCTATTTGACACAGGTTTTTAAGAATTTCATCTTATTTTGCTTGAAAAACATGATTTTTCAAAGAAAATGGAAAATGTTTCTCGTTTTTTCTCGATTTATGCATTTTAGATTAGGCATCCCAAATTTCTCTTTCGATACGAATACAATATATGTAATATTTTGTTTTTGTTTGAAAGAGCATCCAACAATGTGGTACATGACTGAGCTCTTTGTTTTTTTATATATACAAGCACTGATCTAAATAGATAAATAGTTTTAGGAGAATACGTACTATTCCGCGATGTTGCACATCTCGGAATCAGTTCCTGGAATTTCGAAATTCATCACACACAAATTCCTCTAATTCTGGAATTACAATACCCTACATAGACTTATAGCTAACAGTCACCCTCACTCGACCCAATTCCATCAAAATTCGATCTTGGCCTTCTTCAGTACTTTTCTCATTTAATATTGCTTGTGGTTTCCCCAATCGAGTTTTTGTAAAAAACAAAGATTTTTAATAAAATTCATGCTACGGGAAGTAGTTTTGTCTCCTGATTCCGAATAATATAATATTTATTTTGCTTCAAAACTATTTTTTTAGTTGGTCATAGTCTGGAAATACCAAGCCATTTTATGATTTTTCTGCTTCGTTTTGTAGTATTTCCACTTTTTGAATACTTTCTGTATTTTTTTGCATCTTTTTGAAGTTACATTTGACTAGAGTATGAGAAACTACATCAATCCGAATACATAGCTTATTGGATGAAAACCTCGTTAGGAAAAGAAATTGACCTACACTTTATAGTAAGGCCGTGGGGAAGCGATGGCGGATGGAACTTTAGCCTCTCAGGAGAAAAATTCTTTGGAGGGTACAGGTATATTGTTTTCGCTCAGCGGAAAATTTATTTTGACCAAGTTCAGTCTCCTCCCTCAAAAAAGTTAGCCATTCTCAGAAAATTCCGGAATATGGGTGTGCTTCATAATATATAGGTCTTTTTTCCTGTTTTTGTCGGTTTTTAGCGAAATAAACTGGAAATATTTACTTGTTAAGCTATTAATCTGTCAGAAATTGATAGAACAATTATTTCTACTCTTATATAAAATATTATTACTATTCTAAACTGATTTTTAGGGTCAAAAGATAGTAACTTTTGGACTAAGATCAAAAAAACATCCTTTCCAGAATAGGCCGTTTCTTCATTGAAATAGCTTTTCTTATGCAAAACAAATCTTATATTCGTGATCAGCATGGCCGATAACTTATAGCTAGATCAAATCGAAAGGAGAATGAAAAAATTTCTAAAAAAATATACGTAGTTTTGTGCAAAATTTAGTGCTAATTCTAATCATGCAATTTTTTCAAAGAATTTTAGGGGTGAAAAAATGGTCTTATCGCTTTTTGTCCTTTAAAGACTAAATAATTACCGATGCGGGTTGAAAATTATTTCGATATGATATCTATTACTAAATTTGATAAAAAGAAAAATAGTCTTTTATAAAGCCCTTCTAAATTTAAATTTATGTCATGTGGAATGTAAAATAAATTTACACAAGAACTATTGTCATATTAGTGCTGTATAGGTCAAGTTAAATCTTGTTTAGTAGATTATCCTTTCATGACCTCTTCATTTTTATGTTATCCTTGATATTTAAGTATTAATACATGACTCTTTATATGTGGAACAATATTGCAGTTTCATATATTTATAAAAATAAAAATGGTGTAAGAGATTTCTCAAATTTTCATGTGATGACCGCCTGACAGTAGCGTCACTTCGTTGAATAAGAGAGGAGGAGCGGCCCCTCCGCCAACCAAACAGCTTGCTGGCAGTGACCGCGTTCGCTACGAGTTTTAGAACTTTCATCATCTTCCGCGCGGTGCATATCTCTGATATTAACGGCCCACTTAACACCTAATTCCATATGATATATACATCAAGCGAATATTATTGGATTACAATTAAGATTCTAGAAGAAAGAAAAAGACTATTAAAAAAATTTTTTCATTGGAAAAATATCCTTTTATTTCAATTTGTAGCTTCAATTACTATCATATATTCAGTGTCATCTACAAGAGGATAAATATCTCAGAGTATAAAGACATTTCAATGTCAACATAAATAGTAATGGTTGATATTTACAATTCTATCAATTTTTTCATATCTAAAATGATCTATCACTAGATTTGTATAGGAGAAACTTCTTCTATCTAACAATTTTTGTCATGCCAAATTCTATTTGGTGTTCGTTGAGATATTGATGCATGACGCCACATTTGATCTCATCTATTTCACGTAAGAGGAATATAAGGATTGACGAGAAATGACCTTTGACAGATCAATTGCTTTCAAATTTTTTCGAATCGAAAATATGTGTATCAAGATGATTTGATTCCCTATGAAGGATCTGAAAATAGTTCGAATTATTGATTGGAATACTACTGTATTTTTATTACAAAGAAAAACTATTCATCACGAAAATTTCCTAGTTTATTAATGATGATATTCATTTCGTTCAAGCGATTACTAGATAGTTCATCGATACTGGAATTGAATCAAATTCAAATAACCAATGGAACTGGGCGAACCTGAGAGATGCAGAAGTGATATGGCTAAGTAAGATAGTTTTATAATGGCGGTAATCTTCAATTTATTTTCTCACCTATTTCATTAAGTTCAGAGTGTAACTGCAATCAAAATGACTATTCAAAATATTAGATGCTAATTGAGGACTTGATTAGGATGCATATATCAATGAATGAATCAATCAACAAAAGTTCTTTAAAGATACCTTTTACATCTTTAAAAAATATTCTTTATTCTTATCTTGATTGAAAATACAATAGAAAGAGTCCATACAAA